TCTCCATCTCAGCTCTTATTCTTATTAGCAAACATATCCTATTTCATCGTTCTAGATAAAAGCATAGTTTCACGCAGTAATACTATCGCCCTTGACTTTGGACGGGCTCTATTTGGACCAGTAGGCGCTATTGTCTTTGCATGTTTGGTCGCAGTTTCGTGTTTTGGCGCTCTAAATGGTGCCTTTTTCACTTCTTCGCGTCTTATCTGTGCAGCGGGTCAGGAAGGATTCCTACCCGAGATGTTTGGCCAACTACATCCAACGAGGAAGACGCCCATGAATGCCACGATCTTACAGGCTGTTGTCACGCTAGGTTTCGTGATCTTCGGAGGAGGGTTCAGATCTCTTGTCAATTTCTACTCGGTGGCTAGTTGGGGGTTCTACTTTTTGACCGTCCTCGGCCTCGTGGTCCTCAGGTTCAAGGAACCATACCTCGAAAGGTGGGGAGACATTTTTGATATCCATCCCAAGCGCCCAGCTAACTATTTGATTCGTAGACCGTATAGAACGTTTATTTCCACCCCCTTGATATTCTGCGGGGTATGTAATGTTACTCACCGAACAAATCGTTATGCTTTGTTGATCACAGTATGGCTGTACAGGTGGCCCTTTTCTTATTGTCCATGCCTGTTCTGGCTGCTCCTCTGGAGGCTCTTGCAGCGCTCGGTTAGTCAGAGCTTTCAGGCTCCTCTGCCCTCCTCTATGAAATTAACGTTATGCTCTCTAGGCTTTATCCTCGCAGGCATCCCGATGTACTTCCTCACACAATCTGAGTATGCAAATCGGCCAGATAGCTTGTTAGGTAGATTCAAGGCGTGGGTAAACTCGTTGTACTCGGACGGCCGTCTCAGTCGAGGAGGTTGGACAAGAGTTGCGACGGAGGCCGACCCGGATGAAGTAGAGATGCATACGGCACCTCGATGATGCTTTATTGGACGTAGGGATCTGAGGTGAGCTGGGGCTTCCCCTTTTCTCATAGAATCACCAGATCTCGAGGGTCTCAGATCTCACTGATCTTCTCTTCAGCAGGAAGTCATCTTGATTCCCGTATTACCTTATTCAATCGATTGTAACTGTCATGTTATTCGTGCAATTTTACTGGTCTTAGCGGAGAAACCTACTCCAGTGAACGACGACTCCTTATGAGAATGCGGGTGTATAAGAGGTGACAACTCGTTTCATTGACCACATATTCATAAGAAAACAATACAATACAAGCAATCTACAAGGATTCGTACCGCAATCGACCGGCGTACGTAAGACAAAAGACTCGAAAACCCAGTAGATACCGAGTAAAAATGCGCGAAGAAAACAAGATGACCAGTTGCATTGGACCAGAGAAAGAAATCAACATGTGAAATGCGGGAGTGAGTCTCAGTTTCTATCAAATGTTAAAGATGTTGGCCACGATTGTGGCGTCATTGTCAATGTCTAGCCATCTTGCACACCTTGCTCGGAACAGATGGGGGTTACTGCACGAGTCGCAGAGAGGATCCTCATCTTGTAGGCGTCTAGAGATAGACAAGACCTCCTCGACCAAATCCTCATCAGAACCGCCGCCCCTCTCCCCATTCTTCAATGCCAGCCAGAGATACTTGGCCATGCTCCTCCAGCAGCCAATGTGCCTGACTGCCGGCACGTCGAAGAATTCGTTCTTCGGGATCTCCAGCGCTTTGTGAAAGCGTTGCCGCAGAACGGCCTCTCGGGCCCGGCTGAGACGGAGGACCGTGGCGAGTCCTAGTCTGTCTGCCTCTGATTCATTTAGCGGAACTCTGATCCGGGCGAGTTCGACATACGACGAGAGAAGCCATTGCGGGATGTCGTACGCGTTGGCTAGCTCGATGCGTACAATGGGGGAGAGCGGGCGCGAAGTGAGCATTTCGATGGCGTATGCTCGTGTCGACGCGAACTCCCATTTCGTGGCGAGGCAGACGATATCCATCAGGGCTTCCGTAGAATGAGTGATGGGTCGCCAACTGATAAGGAGGGCAAAGGGTTAGGGCCCATGAATCATACTGACGATTTTTGGAGGTTGAGAATGCTTACCTGGGGTATACCGTAGAGAGGAATGCATCAAATTGATGAACAAGAATATGGGGCAGATGAAGGGGGGATTCATCTGTGCTTCCTTCAGGCTCCTTGCTATCTTGGGGTGTGGGGATGGCGAAGAGGTTTCGGAAGAAGGGGGAGTTTCGGCTGAGTATGGAGCGGTGGATGCGGTATAACGTTCGTTCAACCTAAGATGAGAGACCAAAGAATCACGAGGTCCGTAGTCAGAGAAGTGCAAGCGCTATAAGGACAGTAAGACCTACAAGAAAGACTACATTTCCATCTACAAAGTAGTAGTCCTATCATAGTATTAGCTCGAGCTCGGCTCTTGAGCGATATACGAGTGGCGTAGGGCTTACCTGAGACTGTTGGCGGGTGACGCGCGTTGGGGGTGATGGCTCACGGCTCGACGGAGCGGCCTGGGTGACGGTATTCGCTCCTGAACCGAACCCATTTGCCATCTGGTGCCTTTCTATCGTTGCTGGGTCCAAAAGGAGGCCCGATATGTACTGGGTTGGTGAAAGTTGGCGAGAGAGACGCTCGGAGAACCTAGCGTGGCGTAGGGCATTTGTGCCACCGCCGATACCACCACCCACTCTGGTCGGAGGGCTGGCCAGCATAGACGAGTCTCCTCTGCCTCGGGCGAGGATAGAGAGTGAGTCCAGATCGGAATTTATGGTTGCTAATATAGATCTTGGGAATGAGAAGAAGGGGTGTAATTGCCCGTGAACAGGCTGTTTAAACGAGTTCTAGGCGGATAGGGCCGCTGTACTGGGATACGCTGAAGCCTCGTGGTCAGTGGACAATCGCTGAAGGGGGTCAGCTGAAGCTATTCAGTGCAGAAAAGCTGCTTACTTTCTAAAATAGCGATCACACCTGGAGTAGGCACGGATAACGTGCTAGTACAGATCCTATATCCTGATTGGATATACCAGTCTCTGCCTCAACAGAGCCTATCAAAAACGATAGAGTCTCCAGTAAATACGCAGGTCTTTACGTAGTTTTTTTGATACGTAAAGGATACAGGCTGATTCTTGGCTGGGGAGTCGAAGAACGCTGCTTTGTTCACGAGTTTGTACCAAAACAGGGAGTACGCGCGTTGCACCCAAACTTTGCCCCCAACCATGGACGAAATTGGAATTCAAATCAAATCAGTGGTCTGTAATGGGAAACATTAACTTTTGATACGCTGTTAACAATTTATAGGAGCCGACTTTCGAGTCTGTGGTCACCGAAAAGGCTGCCTTGTTTCAGGAGATGCAAGAGGATGACTATTACATCAAATACAAGAAACTTGCTAGACATCTGGAGATGTTGGATATACAAGAGGCATACATCAAGGACGAGCAAGCAAATCTCAAGCGTGAACTCGTTCGTGCACAAGAGGAGGTTAAACGAATTCAGTCTGTCCCACTTGTCATTGGCCAGTTTCTCGAACCAATAGACCAGCACACTGGCATTGTGGGCTCAACTACTGGTTCAAACTATGTCGTCCGCATCTTGTCGACCCTGGACCGTGAACTGCTAAAACCTTCCTCCTCTGTGGCTCTCCATCGTCACTCGAATGCACTAGTGGACATCCTTCCCCCAGAAGCAGATTCATCAATAGCAATGCTAGGAGCAGAGCAAAAGCCTGATGTGACCTACCAGGATGTGGGTGGCATGGACTCACAGAAGCAAGAAATCAGGGAAGCGGTCGAGCTGCCCCTCACACACTTTGATCTATACAAAAAGATTGGTATTGACCCACCACGAGGTGTCCTGCTATACGGTCCCCCAGGTGGGTGCTTTTCGCGTACAGAAATGATGACCCTTTGATTAACGCCCCGGTGTGCAATACAGGGACGGGTAAAACCATGCTCGTTAAAGCTGTGGCACATCACACGACTGCATCTTTCATCAGAGTAGTTGGATCTGAATTCGTCCAGAAATATCTCGGAGAAGGACCGCGCATGGTTCGAGACGTGTTTCGGCTGGCTCGAGAAAACGCCCCTGCGATCATCTTCATTGATGAGATCGATGCAATTGCAACAAAACGATTTGATGCGCAAACTGGTGCAGACAGAGAGGTTCAACGTATCTTGCTTGAGTTATTGAACCAAATGGATGGTTTCGATCAGGGAAGCAATGTGAAGGTACCCTTACCACTTGTATCTATACGAACGCTTAGCTAACGAGATATCTCTAGGTTATAATGGCAACCAACAGAGCAGATACCTTAGATCCTGCTCTCCTCCGGCCGGGTCGCCTGGATCGAAAGATCGAATTCCCGCAGCCATCAAGGCGAGAGAAACGACTGATCTTCCAAACTATCACCGGAAAGATGAACTTAAGTCCAGATCTCGATCTTGAGGACTGTACGTACACATATATTTTCTTCTGAATGCATCCTAAGCCATCTCTTTAGACGTTTCACGGCCAGACAAGATTTCTTCAGCCGAAATTGCTTCCATATGTCAGGCCGCTGGCTTACAAGGTCAGTTTAACTGTATTTCTAGGGAAATACTTTCTTATCTATTGCAGCTGTCCGTAAAAATCGATATGTCATCCTACCTGTCGATATGGAGG